AAAAAAAAAAAAAAAAAAAAAAAAAAAAAAAAATGATTGAATCCAAAGTGACCAAGAAATACTGATTGTGTTGCAACACTTTAGTCTCCAAGGCCGTTAGTACTGCCCCAGCTTTCTCTACAAGATGCATCTTACGGCAGTCCTCCGGTCATGTAAAGCGCCATCTTGATGGTCATTTTCACCCCAAATGTTCATATTTCCTACTACATTAACTATACAAATTAGTTGCAATCTAGCAACCGTCATCTAGTTGACAAGTAACGCTACAGTGGGTTATTCTTTTAAAATACCAGTTTAGACTGCTAACGAAATTCTTCTTAAAGTACAAATTTGATTGTGGAGAAATCATGCGCGTTTTACACTCACCTTTTCCGACTTCTATTATTATCATTTAGTGATCAAGTTTTGCCGACGATGAGAACACTGTTCAAAATGAATCATTATCCTTCGCGTAAAACTCTATCATAAGCTTTCTGTCCTAGAAATCGCTTACTCAAAACTCATTTTCATATCTTATTCCCCTTTGTCCAATCTCTTAACACTACGAATAACTAAGAACCAACAAAGCAACATACCATAGTTTTACAAAACCACCCATCTTGCACAAAAGTTGGTTGAAAGGTAACAGGTTTTTTCGATCTCATTCTGCAGCCGTAAGCAAGTAAAAAAATTTTGATAACTTTGGAATTTTGCCAAAAATAACCACCCATTTTAGCAGTACTATTGATAGATAAAGTAGAAATTTTAACATCGGATTGTCTTGGGCAACTTTACTGGTTTTGAATAAAAAGCGGAAAAGTGAGGTCAGGCTTTTCTGAATGCGTACCTTTTTTGTTGCTTTGTAGAATATTTCTGTCGTTGAAAAACTTGATTTCTCTTGACAATTCGAGATGCTTGATGGTAGTCAATTCCATTCATGATCGTTCGTCAGCACGAAGGAATTGCATAAGTGTCGAATGCAGCAGATATGTAAAAGTATATTTACCTTTTTTTTTCTTGCTCACTTAAAGACGGCTTTCTTTTACGCAGACTTGGACTGTCTGGACAGATTATTTAAACTTAGAGCAACTTGGCTTTATTAAGGAACAGAAAACGCAAAATAGAGATTTAAAGTCAATAAATTTGTAAAAGATTTTCTGAAGATACGTGTTTTTTCATACATTCTGCTGTTTCTTTCTGTATTCTGTCGAGGTTTAAGCAGTTTGCATTTGCTTTCATTCCTTTTAGGGATTGTCATTCTTTAATGTTACGGTAGACTACTTTTTACACTTAATGAATTAAGGAAATAAATAAAATTAGTTGTTTAACGTAGATCATTGGAGGTGTTTTAAGCTAATGATCCAATTATTTATGTTTACCAGCTGGAACCACTATTTTTTCCAACTAGCCGCATTGTTTTTGCGGTACGGAAATGTCGTGTATCATAAGAAATATATGGCGTGTTTTTAAATTTGCTTATTATTCAAAGTAAATTAATCTGTAAATAAGATTATCATTTTTTTTTACCATTGTACTGGAAGTTTTGAGTTCCATATAAAAAGTGATATGCAATATTGCAACAGATATTTGTCTCTTTGTTTCGTAGTTGAGTGAAATTTTCAAATTTGCCCTTTCTTTCCGAAAACGAGCATAATGATCACTGTTAATCCGTATCTTAGGCGTATGTGTTTCGCAAAACGCATTTTGTAAATTAATGTGACATATTTTTTGGAACAGGGAGTTGAAGCAACAATATATATGTCGGTTTCTTAAGCGTCGAGGGCGGCTTCGATGCCTGTAAAGTACAGCTGAGTTGCTGCTGTTGGAAAAGGCTAAATGTTATGATTTCTCTGTGGCCATATGTTCGACAGGAACCTTATATCGAAATCTATACTGGCTGTCGTGTTGTTTTTTCTTGCCCAGTTAAGCATCTTCTGGTTCAATGTCGAACGACTGGATGACAAAAAGTTAACTCTGGAAGCAGAAATTCATTTATTGGAAAGGAAGCGAGATCTGCTGAGGGCAAAAATATTTGATTCGGAAAAAGCGGTTTATCGACTTGAGGTTCAGCTGAAGGGATTGAAACAGAGGTTTGTTTTATTCAAAGTGCTTGAGTGAGTTGGAGAAGAAGGAGAAAATGTACAGTAAACAAGAGGTTTTTGAATATTTTTGGTCATTTCTTTATTTATAGTGTTCGGGATGTCTTACCACTGGCTATGAAGAGGAAAAACCTACCAACTATCTACTTTGTTACTCCTACACATTACAGACCTACACAAAAAGCTGACCTAACTCGTCTTTCGCAGACATTAGGTGTATTTAATTGATAGTTTTTTATAATGGCCACAAAACTTACAAGATATATTTTTTTAAATACTGTTTTTTTCTCCAGCTCATGTCCCTAATTTGCATTGGATTTTGGTGGAAGATTCGGAAAGACGTTCAGAAAATGTTTTGGAAATTTTGGAAAGAAGTGGGCTTTCATACACTCATTTGAATGTTCCTACACCAGCAGACAAGAAAATGAAGGAAAATGATCCAAATTGGATTTATCCGAAAGGGGTTTTACAAAGGAATGCTGCTTTGGGGTGGTTAAGGTGAATTTGACAATTATATTTAGATTATATTTCTTCACCGTTCAAACTGTTATCCAGTTTTTTATGTTAGTTTATCTTATTTTTCAGTTAAACTTTTGAAATACTAGATTTAAATTTTAAAGAGTAAACCTTGCCAATACTGCACGTGGAGTAGTTTACTTTGGTGACGATGATAATACCTATGACACTCGTTTATTTTCTGAAATGCGATCATTAGTGAAGGTAGGAGTATGGCCAGTTGGTATAGTTGGTGGCATGTTGGTCGAAGCACCCATTGTAAAGAACGGTATACCTGTATTTGTTATTTCATCAAGAAAGTTCAAAAGTTGCTGTATATTTTGCCTTCCAAAAGTTTTCGATGCTCTTTAGCTTTGGAAAGCAAAGATTTTTATTTTTATTTTTATTTTTTGTTTACGCCGCAAACAATTTAGTAATTTTTTTTGTTGAAGCATTTTTTTCATTTTTTCATTAGTAAGGGACTTTATTTTGCAGAAAACTTGTACAAAAGATTTTTAGTTATTTCTATACGTATACAGTAATAAAGTTGATAAGTGAAGAAACCGTGGATTTTAAATGAATTATAGAAGTTATAGTGCGGAGTCGGTTTGAATTAAGCTTCCTAACATAATTTTTTTTTACTTCTAGATAGTGTTGTCGGTTACAATTCTGTTTGGAAGCCAAATCGAACATTCCCTTTAGATATGGCAGCATTCGCATTAAACATTACTCTAGTGTTAAACAGCGATGCAACTTTTACGTATAATGTTCCTCGGGGGCACCAGGTTCAGTATTTTTACTTTTTGATATTTTGATTTGCTTGTTTTGGGAATCAAATTGTTAGTTTTGAAAGCTCAATTAGGTTTTACAGGGGTTTTCTTTTTTGGTCTTGTAAACTTATTTCTCAAGATTTTATTTTTCGCATTTTCTGTTTCACTTGCTTTTTGTAGGGACTTTATGTCAAATTTCTCTTTATCACTCGGATTTAACTGAGTTAAATAATGGATTTACAGGAGACGTATTTTCTCGAATCATTATTTGTGAACAGATCTGCTCTTGAACCGAAAGCGGATCTTTGCAAAAAGGTTCTTGTTTGGCATACTCGTACTGAAAAGGCTAAACTCTCTGCATCGGAAAGAAAAAAGTTTCAAAATCGACAGTTGAATGATCTTGAGTTGCAAGCAGTCGGTTAGGGATAACGTGCTAAGCCTCCTTCCGTTGAATTTTTGATATTTGAATTTTTAATAATAGAGTAAAATTAGTTTATTAAAGCGAGACGGCTGTAAGGTAATGCTTAGACTGGTATGAGTTTTTTAATAGTTTTTTAGCGATTTATAATTGTTGCGGATAGATTGTTTAAAGCAGTTTCTTTATATACCAACTTGTTGCTGATTTGTAATCAGTTCGAAAATTGTGGGACGCCTTTTTGTAGGTTTCAGGTAAAATTTTATTTTTTTACGTATAACAAAGTCGTGTTGCCAAATAGGCTGAATTTTATCTATTGTTGTGAGGCACAATTCAAAAATTAAGTTGGAGATTTCGAAATCACAGTACAAAAATGTAATAGTTTTAGAAGTGTAAATGGGTGAAAATCTACAAATTCTCAATGAGTGCTTTTTTCAGCTGAAAGTGATTTTTGGAAGCTGTTAAATGAAATGAGTGATTTTTTATTCGTTATTTTGTAAGGACACTGGTGATGTTTTTATCACTTATTGTAAACATATAGCGATATGGGATTTATTGTGAATGGCTGCGTAAGAGCGTCCATAATTTTATTTCCCGTTTTTCCTAAATCCCAGCAGCGTTCATTGGACGTCCTTGCATGTGGTTTTCGCGGGTCTGTTATGAAATAAACCTTGCTTCGATAAAGTTAATTTTTGTTATTGTCGTACAGTATCGTCATTTATACTTCTGCATACGTTATGTTTTTTCTGGGAAGCAGTTGTCTTTTAAAAAAGAAAGTATTGTCTTTTGCAGTTTATTCTTTAAACATGGGAGAACGCAAAGGACAGAATTTTTACTATCCGCCGGACTTTGACTACAAGAAACATAAGAGTTTGAATGCTTACCACGGGACTCATGCTTTACGGGAACGTGCGGCGAAGATAAAACAGGGGATTCTTATAATCAGGTTTTTTTTTGTCCAGTTTTAGCAAGATGGGTTCGATTTATTGAAGAATTTTTTTGCTGTTTTTTCTTATATTTTATTTTGATAGACTTTTTGGGAGTGCTGCAAGTGCTAAGTAAATTTGGGTTGTTTTATTACAATTTTTTGTCACTGTTTCGGTTAGAAGTAATAATTTGAAGTTTTTGGGGTCTTGCTTTTGATTCCCACACTTTGGTAGAAGAAAATTTAATTTTTATAGTAATAAACTGAGCCTAAACTGCTATTAGTGATTTGGGAAAGTATTTATTCTTGTTTATATAGCAATTAAGGATACATATTTTATTTACTTTGAAAGTTTTTGAGTTTTTAGGTTTGAAATGCCTTTTAATATTTGGTGTTTGGGCTGTAACAATCATATTGGCATGGGAGTTCGTTATAATGCAGAGAAAAAGAAAATTGGGATGTATTATACGACTCCTCTTTACGAGTTTCGAATGAAGTGTCATCTTTGTGATAATTATTTTGTTATTCGAACTGATCCTGAGGTTCGTGAAGTTACGTTATCGCTGATTTTTTATTGAAAAAAAATTTTTTTGATCATTTTACTATTCCATTGAAAGCACTTGAAATCTTGAAATAGTCTTATTAGTGTGATTGTACTAATAACTCTCTTAGCACTTTGATTATGAACTTGTCGAAGGATGTAGAAGACAAGAGAAGCGTTTTGATCCTACTACTGTGGATCAGGTTCCTGCAGTGGATAGAACGTTTAATTTCAAGCTAGAGGGCGACAAAATGTTTAAAGTAAGTGAATTTGACGTTTTTGTCAATATATATATCTTTTTGTACACTTTTTTTTAGGTGGAGCATCTCGAAAAAGATAAGTTGAAAGAGGAGAATGAAAGCGATAAAAACGAAAAATTAGAGTGGATACAGGAAAGAATGCGAGATGATTTTGCCGCAAATCAAGCACTTAGAAGATCATTTCGGGTGAGTTATCTAATGTTTCAAATGTAGTTAAGGAACGAAGTATCTGAAGGTTGAAAGTTGATTGTATTATTGTCTGATCCTTCTCTAGTCAGGAACATTTGGTTTTGCTGCTTGTGATAATTAGTGGCCGTTTAGAGGGAGAGAAAGGAGTTGTCAGATCAGCGTTTAAAAGATGATGATTTGAAGAAAAGGACCTCACTTGACATCCCACTTCTACCAGAATCTAGTCAAGATAGCAGAGAAGCCTCCTTATTATTTCGGTACCGGACACTTAAAGGTACGTTAGAGTAAACTTTAACAAGTTTTTGCTCATTTGTGATAATTAGAAGTGGAATGATCGTTGATTTATAAGGGTCGAAAAAGTTTGATAATCGACTTTTACGGTTGCGTTACTTTACAAGCAGTTTAGAAGTAGATTTGAAATGCTCGATTTAGATAATTTTTGTGTTAATTTATTCCTTTTTCAGGTACTGGTGAGGGAAATTCGGATTCCTCTAGACTTGATCTAAAAAGCCGTATTTTGCTGAAAAAGAAATCTGTAGGCATGTCACGTGAGGCAAAAAGGCTAATAGTATCTATGGCTAAAAATAAGACTTCAGAGTTCTCTTCGTTAAACTGTGCAAAAGCGGGAACCTCCCTCTCATTTACTGGTGATGTTCTTAAAAAAAGCGTGCATCCGAAAGCTGCAGGCGATTGTAAGGAAGAGAAGATTAAAAGTGTTTGTTTTTTATTTTTGATTGGTTTTGCTTGTACAAATGTGCTTTGCTGCCTTATTGCTCTGGTTAACGATGTACTCAGAAGGTTTTTTGCAATAATATGTTCCAGCAGTAAGCCTGAAAAAATTTTGGCAGTTTAAATAGGTATATTTTTTCCCTACGTAAGTTTTTCGCTTGAATTTCCAGGAAGTCAAGGAACTACCTGCTTCGCCAGATTGTGCTCGCATAAACACGCAAAATACTAGTGCTTCTTTATCGTTGGTTGCTGATTATGGAAGTAGTTCCTCGTCAGAAGGGGAAAAATAGCTTCGAAAGATAGATAGAGAGTATTGTCTTTGATCTGTCTTAATTTTTGGGAGGTTTAGTCATCTTGTTTTATTCTTCACCAAAGAGCGGTTCGGTTTTTTTTGGTTTACTCTTTAGATATATTCCAAGCTGATGACGTTAGCTTCCTGCCGGGAAGTTCATTTTGAGGACGGTTATCTATGTAATATTTGGCTAACTGTTATCTGTAATGCTTAAATAGTTTAGCAGAAGGTATCTTAGTTTGATATCTTTGCAGGAAAGGATCCAGACAGGTTTTCTCTCTGTGCCTTCAACAGAACTGTTTTACTAGGCAGACAGATTTAAAGAAATGTTATGTAAACAGCCACCGTTTTTGAAAAATGTAATAGCTTTGTGCCTGTTTAATAATGTGGGAAAGAATTATGATGACTGATCAACGTTTCTGTGAAATATGTTTTCATTGGCGGGTCTTTTTTTTTTTGTAATTCAAGATCTCAAGTATTCCTTAAGGAATCGTACAAATTAAGTAAGATGTTTTACTGCAGTTTGTTTGGAGAGGCGAGAATATGCAGTTTA